GTTGATAACTCCAAAACTGTAGATTTTATCAAATTTATCAAGGCAGATTCGAATGGAGCATGTAAAAATATACAAAAATGTAAGTATTCTGGAAATTCTTAATGCGAACTGAGCACGTCTGTTATACTGCAAATTAACCCTAAAGTTTTCATTGGACTGTTTATTTCATTCAGCAATAAGCACCAATGTCACTGAACTCAGGAATTATATCTTAATAGACGTCTAGAAAATTCAACGTTTATAGTTTTAGTATTATGGCTCGTAAAAAAGAACTAACAATGAATGAAAAAAAATATAATCAAAGAATTTAGCAAAGGAAAGTATTCACTTCGAATTTCTAATTTGAAAAGGGATCATCAAACAATCAAGAAAATATGTCAAATGGGAATTCAACCAAGGAAAAAAGTCTCAGGTTGAATTCAGGAATTTAACAAAGCGAGATCTATCACAGATCCGAAGAGAATTAATAAGAAACCCAAATGCGTCAAGTGCGTTCATATTTGAGGCCGCTGGAGCTCCTATGGTGTCAAGGGAAACAAGGTGTAAAGGATTAAAGAAAGTTTGCTGATGTAAAAAATCAAATAAAGAAACCCATTTTAACAAAAAAACATAAGGAAAAAAGATTGCAGTGGGCAAAAAAATACATGAAAACTGATTTCAGTAAAGTGATTTTCACAGACGAATCAAGGATCACCCTCGATGGGCCCGATGGATGGGTTTGCAAGCAACATGACTCAAGAAAATTTTTTAAACGCCAACAAGGCGGCGGTGGGATCATGATATGGGTTGGGATTATTAGTAATGAGCTCGTGGGCCCATTTAAACTGAAAGACGAATTCCAAAAGTTACTGTGATTTTCTAGAACAATATTACTTTGAATGGCTTGATAACCAGTCTTTAGCCAAGCGTAGATCTATGATCTTTATCCAAGACAACGCACCAAGTCATGCATCAAAGTTTACTAAATCCTGGTTGAAAGAAAAGGGATTTGTTGAAGATTCTCTTATGGACTGGCCTTCAAATAGCTGTGACTTGAATCCCATTGAGAACCTGTGGGGCATCCTCAAGAGAGATATTTATTCTAATGGAAGGCAATTCAACAGCAAGTGTGACCTCTGGGAGGCAGTTAAAGTTGCTGCAAACAACTTACCAGCTGCTAAAATTGCGAATCTAACATCAGATGTTGACAATAGGCTGCTAAGAGTTATTGAAAAGAAAGGAGCATTTGTGCAATAAATTTTAGGAGGTTCTTATTATTTTTTGTTAGTATATCTTTTATTTTTAAAATAAAATGTTTTTTATGTTTTTCCTTTAAGAAATTGACGAATTTGTTCTAAAATCTTTTCATATTATTTTTTTTACATTAGTTTTACAAGATATAATAATGTAAAAGTATCAAAATAAATAGTTGCAAATAAACTACTGACAGTCAAATTAGTCTGTTTTGTTAACTTAGTAATATTTTTTTCAACCAAAAACAATAGTTTTCTCTATCACTATATATCTAAGTTAATAATATTGAGTAGAATCTAAACAACATCATAATAGGAGTTTTAACATTAAAGACGCAACACTTTATACCAATTCATAACTTGCATATAATCCCTAGACGCAGTTTATCATTCGCCAGTGCCAAGGTTAACTAAAACGGCGTAACACCACCCATCAAAATCAGACGCACATAAATGCGTTGAAGATTAACATAGTATGTGTCATATAGGAAGAAAATAGCTACCTCAACCGAGGTTCGATCGTGACACTCTGGACTTATGAGTATATGTTTTCCACCAGGTGTATAAATTGCGGTGTAGGCTACTGACTGCAGTGATTATTGAATGACTATTGTGCAGAATTATCCAGTCGAATTAGTGTGAATTATTCTGCGTCGATGATTTGGGTTTTTATTTAGGATTTACCGGACGTTAAGTCGAGCCGCGCTACAAACAAGGTATTCTCTGAAATGGTTGATTATTTTTGGTTGACATTTGCTTCTTCATGCTTCAGTATCTCTCTATACAATGACACATGGCACAGTGGATAAAGGCATTAGTTAGATCCAGTGACAGCAACCAAAGAGTGTGAGTTCAATACCCGGTTAAGGCAGTGGAGAACTTGAAAAAGGAGAATTAACAGGAGATAACTGACAACTGACATCCATTAAACATGGCGCGTGGAACTAGAACAGTCTACCCCAGTGAGCGAAATAAAGGCTTCAGTTCGACATTCCAACCACCTGAAGAAGGCCGGAGCGTACAAATATGGCGACAAAGATGAGAACAATAGTCCGAATAATGTTAATAGTGTTCTTCGTGCTTGTAAAGTATTTATTTGCGGTTGTAATTAAATACTGTTTTATTTTAAGTTATACTTAATCATTAACGGCCACCGTACGTCACAAAATTATACTACGAGGTCTCTAAACAACTCTCTTCAGGTTTTGAATTAAGCGTTGTCAATTTGTTTTTCTTTTTTTATAGTAAGGATGGTCCTGTACAAGGCCTAGGATCACTCGAGGTAGAGGATTACGCTAAGTTGTAGTTTATATGGAAAGGAGGGGAAGATGATGTTTAAATGTAGATTTGAACAGGTTAAGATTGTACTGATCGGGGAAACATACTCTTGGGAGAAGAAGCTGTTCGAGTGGAGCTTACTTCTAACTGATGGAATATAGAGGGAACGTGTTTGGTATGCTAAAATGTAAGTGGCATGGCGGGTTCTAGTCGTGAAGGTTAAACTTAGAAGAACCAGGGAATGTAATTCGTCCGAGCATTTTCTATGGTTGTGGCGATAGAGCAGTAAGAGACATCCCGCCTGTGAGAGAGAGGTTAGAGGGAGGGTTTAATTCTCCTCCAAGTACTCAGAAACGCGTTGAAATTCAAATCAAGACTGGAAAGTGAGGACACTGGGCATCTCCCGGCCAATTATGGCAACATTTCCAAAATTCTTCTACTATTAACCTGTGGAGAGAACAGATGAATTTTCACAAGCGTGCCCGTGAGTAAATGAGTGTAACGGACTTCACTGTAATTCAAATTTCTCATACGGAGTCGCTATATATATATATATATATATATATATATATATATATATATATATGTGTGTGTGTGTGTGTGTGTGTGTGTGTGTGTGCGTGTGCAAATATATAGAAAAATAGGAAAGAACACGTTAGGTAAATAATCCGAAGTTCTTTAGTATTTTGGGTTTTATTTAAAAAAAAACAGCGCTCAATACAAAAGTAGAGCCTAAAATATAATAATTAAAAAAAATATGATTCCTTCGCTACATAAGAGTTTTCATGTTTCAAAAACAGAAGCCAAATCTTTAATATAATTATTAAAATTAAATTGAATTAAAGTATCAAACGCTGTTTCCTCCTCAAGCGAAATTTTTGAAATCAAAATTTGGAATCAAATTTTTGGATTCCAAAAATTTCGCTTGAGGATGAAACAGAATTAAATTAGTATACTGGAATCTTTTCCAACCAATCCGAGGACACCAACTACAACAGGGATTGTTGATGTTCCCATGTGCCACATTTTTCTTCGATTTCAAGGCCCTTGTATTTTGATAGCTCTTTGAAGATCTGCAACAATACATTGCAGTCTGCAGCGACTGCCATGTCAATAAGGAGGCACTTTTTTTTGTTTGTGGTCTGTAATAACAATGACTGGGCGGTTGGCTTTGATTGTTCTGTCAGTGTGTATTGTGTAGTCCCATAAAATTGTAACAGGTCCTATCTTCGTAACCGGGTCTGGGTGGTGTTCATACCAATTTTTTTCAGTTTCCTTCGCGTAGAAGTTGCAGATATTCCAGTGCAGATATTGGCCCACTCTGTCATGCCGTGTTTTATATTCAGTAGGTGCCAATATCGTGCAAACTGATACAAGATGATCAATTTTTTCTGGATATTTTGGGCTAACGTAATATTTTAGTATGTGTGCTTGGTAATTTCTAGTTAACATGCTCTGGTTCTGTGCAGCAAGGATAAAACCTTCAGTTTCAGCTTTTAACCTTGCACTTCACAGCCACGGATTTGTATGGCGTTTGTCTACATCAGCTTGTTTGGTACAGGCAGAGTATTGGCCATGAAGCGGTTTATCTTGCCATTGTTTCTGTATCTGGTCGGTTGCATTCGTCTTTGCTTTCTTTTTTTATGTATTTTGCATTTTATTATTATTATTATTATTATTATTATTATTCAGTGAGAAGAGCACGTCACCTAAGTAACGCTGGGATACAAATATAAGAAATCCAATATATCCATCATGGGTCCCAATTTAATAAAAAGTATACCAGGTACATTCAGCACAGTCAAAAGGCGTGATGACAGGTTTTAATAACAGTAGCGCATTTTCCCCGTACGATAGCCGATGTTAAATAACGTAGAACCTGGTCAGTATCTAGATGGGTGACTACTTGAGAATACCAGGTGGTGTAAGCTGGGGTGTGCAGATGGCATAATGGATAATGGCTCGGAATTGTCAATCGGAGAGCCGAGTTATATTCACTAGCGCGCGAACAACCTTGGCAAAGGCATGAACTCAACACTTCTCTCCTCTGCTAGGGGTTAATTATTAAGACTTGTATCACTAAATCATTATTATCTAAAACAAAATATCTCATAAACTGAAAATATTTTCTGGCTTTAAATAACCTGCAAAGAGTTGAGGATCCTTAGGAAAGAATGAATGAATCAATTAATCGATCAAATACTGATTATTTACACAGGCATGACTTTTAGATTTATTTACACTATCTGAAATGTAAATGTATAAAAACTACATTAGCCACAAAGTGAGGGATCAGTTTAATATTGATTTTAATATAGAATTTATCCTCCTCTTTATATCCACATTATAATTTATTATCAAATACAGATTAGCTACACAGGCATGTCTTTTAGATTTATTTACATCCTCTGGAATATAAAAGTATAGAAACTACATTGGTTTTGATTGCGAGGAAAGTCGGAAAAGAAATATCGGATCCGCTATCTGATTTCAATAAGAAAGAAAGAAAAGAGAATTCAAGAAAGAAAGAAAAAGAAAGAAAGAATCTACAAACGATTAGGAATAGGACGAAAAAGAAAACAAGAAAGAAAGAAAGAATCAAGGAATGATTAGAAATATGATGAGAAAGAAAGAAAGAAAGAAAGAAAGAAAGAAAGAAAGAATTTACGAACGATTAGAAATAGGACGAAAAAGAAAGCAAGCAAGAAAGAAAGAATCAAGGAATGATTAGAAATATGATGAGAAAGAAAGAAAAAGAATTTACGAACGATTAGAAATAGGACGAAAAAAAGAAAGCAAGAAAAAAGAAAGAATCAAGGAATGGTTAGAAATATGATGAGAAAGAAAGAAAGAATTTACGAACGATTAGAAATAGGACGAAAAAAGAAAGCAAGCAAGAAAGAAAGAATCAAGGAATTATTAGAAATATGATGAAAAAAAAAAAGAAAGAAAGAAAAGAATTTACGAACGATTAGAAATAGGACGAAAAAGAAAAAACAAGCAAGAAAGAAAGATTCAAAGAATTATTAGAAATATGATGAGAAAGAAAGAAAGAAAGAAAGAAAGAAAAAAGAAAGAAAGCAAGAAAGAAAGAATTTACGAACGATTAGAAATAGGACGAAAAAGAAAGCAAGCAAGAAAGAAAGAATCAACGAATGATTAAAAATATGACGAGAAACAAAGAAAGAAAGAAAGAATCTACAAACGATTAGAAATGAGACGAAAAAGAAATAAAGCAAGAAAGAAAGAATCAACGAAAGATTAGAAATATGATGAGAAAGAAAGAAAGGATGGAAGAAAGAAAGAAAGAAAGAAAGAAAGAAAGAAAGAAAGAATATTTATTAATTAACTGGAGAGTTGAGGAAAACCATGTAAGAGATAAAGTATGGGTAATAAGAAATATGAAAGAATAAAATGGAGAAAGAAAGAAAGAAACTACGTAGAATTAAATAATATGAAAGAAAAGAAGAAATGAAAATTATGAATAAGTAAATCAAAAGTATAAAACCAAAAAGAAACTACGAATGATTAAATTAGAAATATGATGTAAAACAAAAAATGAATGAAAATCATTGTAATTAAATGAGAAAGAAAGAAAGAAAGAAAGAAATAAAGTGATATAAAATAAAGAAAAAAAAAGAATGGAAGGGAAATAAAAGTAAAACAAAAACAAAGAAAGGGAAACGAAAGAAAGAAAGAAAGAAAGAAAGAAAGAAAGAAAGAAAGAAAGAAAAGAAACAAAGAAACAAAGAAAGAAATGAAAACGGTAAAGCCGTGAAATTTTCACGGGTACTATTAGTAATAATGATGATGATGTGATTCAAAATGTTCCTAGAATTCGTTTTTGCTATTTCAGTGAACCGTGGGCCGAATTTCTTTGCAAGTATTTTCTCAACGAACCCCCATTTGCGTTTCATCAAAACATAATTAAAAGTGATCACCTTATTATATCATTTTGCGTTTCCTTCCTGCCTAGTATCCGTAGCGAGTAGCCGGGCTTGCGATATATACCGTCTTGTAATTCTCGAATAGCGATGACATTTTCATAATCTCTCGGAGGATTCGAAATTCATTGGAACACGAGGAACGAACAGAAATCGAATAAGGTTTCATTTCGGTTAATGAGCACAGTTCTTCCTCGCTCCGAGGAATTTCTAATTTGACTTTCGTGATATCCATAGCCAATTAATTCTGATTCTGTTTTCTTTTTATGTGCCATGTCCTTTCAGGACGTAGGCGATGATGCCTCTCCCCCCTCGCTCTATCGCATGCAGCTCCCAACAACTTCCCTCTGCTACTCCCCCAGATCACGTTCTGTCATCCACCTGCTCAAGCCCGCCAAGAATTTCACACGCTGCTTTCCCTTTGTCTCTGTTTCCCTCTATTTGACCCGTGAGTATCAGATTCTCAAGGCCCTCCTTCCTCATTATGTGTCCCAGAAACTTCAGCTGCCTCTTCCTGATGTTAAGTATAAGCCTCCTCCTTGTTTGCATCCTCTCTAAGACCGCATCGTTGCTCACACGCTCGGTCCACGAAATCCTCAAGATGTCGTGATTCTATTTACATATCCAATACGGCAGCATAACTTTTGGGGAGTTGGTGGTATGCTTGCCACGGTCGACAGCTATGTAGAAGAGGCCCTCACTTGATTACCAGTAAAATATTCTCTTCAAAAAAAAAAGTTCGGAAATTCGGCCTTGAAAATTATTGTTTTAAAAATTTCCTGCGTACAATCAACTTTACTTCTGGATCTATAATATGATTTTGCTTGAAGTGGGTGTTGATGATTTGTAATAAAGACTATATGATAAATTGCAACGGTACAAGTAATGTTAATATTAGCTGTTTCCCTATAAGGAAACGTTCGGCATTCACTGACGGAGCAGTTAAAATGATTGTAGTTTGAAATTTATAAATTTTTTCTCTGATGTCCAGTAGCTGTTATCGCTCTTTCCAGTATTATTTTTAATCATTTCACCCCAAGCAAGGCAATAAAGCCACTACGGCACAAGGGGTTACCGAGTGTGAATAAAAAAAAAAAAGAACAAAAAAAAAGACAAATATTATCAAGGCGCAAGAACAACATATATGAGAGAATATGAGAAAAATACAATTAAGGAGAGAGAACAATAAAAGAATAAGAATTATGAAGACGATTGACATTGCATTTAAATTTTTGAAGATCAAAGTTGACAGGGAAGCAAGGAGCCGGAGGAGAGTTCCACAAGGGAGAAGTGCGATAGAAGAAACTGTTAGCATAGAACTCACGATTACATTGAGTCATTTCAATTTTAAAATGATGAGACCTCGCCGCCAATCTAGTACCGCGCTTAAATTTATAAAGGCTAGATACCATAGAGAAAAGTTCATTGATGTAGTTGGGGTGGGGGTGGGGGGCTTCTCAACATTTGAAAGTAGCGTGAAATGTCAACATCTTAATTTTGTTATTTTCTCTTTTCGTTACATGTGCTATCCATTTTAGTTGCTTCTGTGGTTCAAAGTCATCAGGTGATGTGCTTTCCGTTGTTTGGTACAGGTCTTTGTGATTGTATAGCGTCAGTCCACAATGTTCGAAGATGGATGATCTTCGCCAAGATACACAAGCTTCACCCGCTCAAAGCCATTTTTAACCATCGATCTTAGAAAGTGGTCGACGATCAGAGATTGACAGCTGACCCCTCTTCCGATGTAACACTAAATTCCCAGTGAGGAAATAACTGACTGGTTACATTCAATGCTTCTAAAACCAAACTGGTTACATTCCATCACCGCCGATCAGACCTCGAAGTACCGCCAGTCACGATGAAATGATGTCCCCTCGAGGAGGCACCTTGACGAGTGGATATTAGGCCTCAAACACACATTCAACCTCAAGTGGAATTCCTATATACGATCTATTGCTGAAGATGCATATAAAATGAGCGGCTCCGTGTACCGCGCCAGTAAGTACCTGACTCCTCATGCCAGCCTCTACCTTTATAAGAGCCAGATCAGGCTGAATATGGAGTACTGTTGCCATGTTTGGACAGGTGCTGCCCAAACCTCACTTTCTAGTCTTGATCGAGGTCAAAAGTGTCTCCGAGTCATTGGAAAAGAATTATTTTACACACTCCAACCATTTTCTCACAGGCGGTATGTGGCGAGTCTCTCGCTGATTTCTTTATACTGCCATGGAAAATGCTCGGGCAAACTGCATCTTTGGGTTCCGCCAGAACTGACCTTAACGGCTAGTACCCACCGTGCCACTTAGATAGTAGTAAATCACTCATATTCCCTCTGTATTCCATCTGCAAGAAGTAAGTTCCACTTAAAAAAAAAAAAAAACCTCTTCCCGCGAACCGCTACCCTATGGAACAGACTCCCAAAAGGATGTGTCCCTGATCACTACAATCTTACCCTATTCAAGTCTAGAGTCAATCGTTATCTTCCCCTCCTATCCTTGTAAACTATCGTAACCTTCTACCTCGTGTGGGCGCTGGACCTTGTACAGGGTGTACCTTAGTGTGAAAAAAAAAAAACACAGCTGGCACTTTAGATATTTCTGAACGGGTTTGGCACCACGAATGACATCCTTATAAAAGTTTTCATCTGGTGAAGTTTTCAGTTTATTGTTTTGGATTTCTCTTAGTAATTACCAGAAAGAATATGAAACCTAAAAAAAAAGAAGAAATCAGGTGGTTCTGTAAGCAATTACGCTTCACCAGAAAGGATACAGTGGCCTAACAAATCTTTTTAGCCAGGAGAAATAAACTACATCTAATTTCAAAATTTAATTACGTAATACCAACTCAACATAAAGAGTATTTGGAACTAGTATAGAGTAGGTGCTTCATTTGCTTGTATTCGATTTTTCATGAATTGATCAAGTTATCAACAATCGTCTGATCCATATTTTGCCATTCCTTTAGCAATGTTCCTTTAATGGTTGTCACTGACGTGATATTGGTTGCACGCTGTTGAAGTTTTCGATCAAGGTGCTCCCAGACATGCTCTGTTGGATTCATGTCAGGATTTTGGGTGACCCATGGCAGTGACTTGATTCCTTGCGATTCCTTCCAGGCCTTTGCTACTTTGCTCGTTTGACATGGCGCTTCATCTTCTTGATAAAGGTAGACATTCTTGTCAATTTGATTGGTTTCAAATAGTAGAGTAGTCCATCCTCTAATATTTGGTAGTATTTTAGACCATTAAACCGCTCATTAACAAGAATCAGCTCAGATTGCTCTCCAAATTAGATAGCGCCCCACACCAATACTCCAATCCCTCCATGTTTCACGGTTTCCTGCAGACATTCAGTGTTCCACGTCTCATTCTGATTTCTACAAACATAAATCTGTCTCGAATTCGAATATTGGCAGAATTTACTTTCATCTGTCCAAATTATAGACTGCCAAAATTCATAATCTTTGCTTTCGAATTCTCTCGCCAAATCCATACGCCTGTTCTTGTTAAACTCTGAAATCAAGGGTTTCTTTTTTGAGACTCTTCTTTGATAGCCTATTTCTTTCAGAGTCTTTCTCACCGCATATGGCGACATTTCCATGCTGTTGGCGACATCATTGACGCTCTGACAACGGTTTCTGATGACTTCCCTCTTCAGTACCCTTTTTGTTCACTCAGATAAGATGTTTGGTCTTTCTGAACGTTGTTTCACACGACAAGGCTTTCTTCATTAAATTTCTTGTCAATATTATTAACCGTTTGATAATTAACCTGGAAAATCCTAGCAGTTTCTCTATCTAACTTGCCACACTGATGCCATCCTGTTATTTGCCCTTGTTGAAATTCATCAATTTTCCTACTTCCGCGAACTTTCATTGCAAGATATGTCAACTATCGTTCATAGATGAGAGTAGCTTGATACTAATACGGTAATATTTACATTATTAAGACTATATGTCCTCATCTTTGTCGCCATATTTATTACAACGTTTCGGCCGTTGTACGCTCCGGGCTTATTCTGGTGATTGGAGTACCGAACTGAACCCACATGGCATAGTGGGTAAAGGCGTTGGTTAGATTCAGTGACAGGACCCAAATAGTGTGAGTTCAATACCCCGTTAAGGCAGTGGAGAACTTGCAGAGGGGAATTAACAGAAGATAATTGATAACTGACATCCATTAGACATGGCATGTGGAACTAGAACAGTCTACCCCAGTGAGCGAAACAAAGGGTTCAGTTCGACATTCCAACTACCTGAAGAAGGCCGGAGCGTACAACGGCCGAAACGTTGTAATAAATATAGCGACAAAGATGAGGACAATAGTCTGAATAATGTAAATAGTGTACATTATACATCATCTCAGAAATATAGGCAGATACTAATACGGTAATGTCTGAAAAAAATTATTACGCAAGCCAAAATTGCTGTAATTAAGGGTGACTGAAAACTTATCATAGCCGACTGTATAAAAAACAATGGAGTCCTCAAGTGTCATAAAATGATGCACAATTGGGCGATCATGTGGCTTTCGGTTCATAATAGACTAGGCAGACGATCTCCCGCAGTAGGCTGCCGTTTATTCCTGCGGTAGACTAGTTGGCAACCAAGGCTATAGGATCCCGTCTGTCAGCACATAGATGGCTGACCGCTTGGGAATCCCAGATGCCGTAAACTTGGAAATGCGAGTGACGTAATGCTATTAGGACTCGGAATTGTTAATCGGACAGCTGAGTTCTAATTCCATTTGGGTTCGTTATAGTCACTTACGTGCAAATACCTTGGGAAAGGTACGAATCCACCTCTTCTCCTAGCTCAGCTATGGATTAATTGTATCACTAAATCATTATTATCTCTCCCCTATCAAAAAAAAAAAAAAAAAAAAAAAAAGAAAAAATCTTACAATATAACACGGAGAATTCTGAAGGGTCGATTTGCCTCCCACATCCACGTTTGCGACTGGCTAATAGTACCCGCGGAGGGACGCCGGACGAACAAACGATATGCGTTTCTATCAAGCTGCAAGGGTTAATAAAACGGATACCAAAAGTAAAGGACCCTTTTCATTGATCAGTCAGTTATATGTCATGCGTGATACACGCTTAGGCGATCATGTATCTTTTGATACATGACTGACGAGGTAGATTTTTTTCCCGCAGCAGGTTGCTATTTCTTTCTGCGGTAGACCCGTTGCCATCCAAATCTATAGAACCCGGTCTGTCCTGCTATTTATCCATAGCCGGGGGAAGAAGATTCATGTCTTTCCCAAGGGTATTAGCACATAATTGAATGTAATGGATTCGACTGACATTTGAACTACAAGGAATCAGTCAGTTATTTGCCATGCGTGATACACGCTAAGGTGATGATGTATCTTTTGATACATGACTGACGAGGCAGATTACCCCCCCCCCACCGGTAGTAGGTTGCGATTTCTTTCTGTGATAGACAAGTTGTTATCTAAAGCTATAAAATCCGGTCTGTCCTGCTATTTACCATAGCTGGGAGAAGAAGAATACCCAAGGGTATTAACTGAATGTAATGGCTTCGATTGGAATTCGAACTCGGCTCTCCGATTCCTCATTCCGAGCCACTATTCATTACTCCGCCGTACCTCCACTCGTTGTTACCGTTTTTATTAATAATAATTGGTATCCTGACACGTCAAAGACTCGAACACAGCATGCTAGCAATGGACAGCAAACAGATGGACAAACACTTCGCCGCTGTAAAACTAACATCTGTTTCTCGTATTTAAATATCAACTGACATTGTTAATTATCTAAAATGATTTCGAAAGACATTTCATGAATATCGATTTTAATATTAATGACTTTCAGGAGAAATATTTCTACATATATATAAACTTTTTTATTTTATTCTATTTTTTTTTTTTTAATATCTGCATTTTTAACTCTCCGCTATTTTAACTCTTTTTAATTATTTTTAACTGATGAGATCTTCTTATAATTCACTTTAATTTTAGAAATTCAATCGAATTCTGAAATTATATCGTTTTCCCATTTGTGTTTG